GATGGAGTGGGTTGGGCTGTAAGGTATTAAAGATACTGAAATTTCACGAGAAGGGGGAAATTTCTCCCAACAGTTTTTTGGTAGGTCATTATATTTTATTCCACCTGGCCTAATTGTCTGACTCTCACCAAAAGCTTTATTGCATTGTAAAGCATTCTGGGGCTGACAGACGCTATTTGAAATCAAATTCTGCTCTTCTCTGCATCATTCCACATATCCAAGAATAACCCTTCTAAAAGACACGCTATACAATATGGCATGGGTCCCACTCAGGCAAAAATCTGATTGACTTGTAGACTGTGTGTCTTTTGCAAGGTAACCAACTGAGCAGTAGTCACCATATGAATGAAAAGTAATCACTTCTGCTGGGAAATTGAAGCCATGACACAGCTTCCATAATTCCTTCACCACGAGCCTGCATGCGACAGTTCCAGAGAAATTCCGTAGCCAATAAAATGCCCGTAAGGAAATGGATGTGAAATCAGTTTAGTTTAAAACAAAATCCCTACAATACTGTGCTTTATCACTATTCTCTTGGGGAAAAATATGAAGAAGAGGAAGGTGCAGGGCTTCGTTCCACACAGTAGGGTAACCAATAGGGACAGAAACAGAAGGTTTGGGACACATGGGTTTATGTGGATCATCTGACCTGAATATTGATCACATGTTATTGACATGTGCTTGGAAAGCATGATCACACACATCTGAATCACACATGAATAAATGAGATTGGATCCTAAAGTCATGAGAGCTGCTTAAAACTCCATGTGTGAAATCAGTAGGCACAAACCTTAAACCATGTAAGCTTTTTCTGGGAGTGGAAGATCAAAGTGAAGAATCCTGGCTGTTACACAAAAGGATCTCATCTCTAGTTTTTGCTCAGCATCTGCACCGTATCTACAACAGAAGTGTGACAGGAAACGTCCGAGAAATCAACATAAACATCACCTGACCCCTCTCCCAGCTACAGAAAGACCAAGAAATTGCACTGCTCACTTGTTCTCACAATTGCAGCCAGGCAAACGTGCCCACCTGCTGCCCACCCAAGTTCTATCCATTTTTGTCTCTTGGGCTCTTTTGTACCTACTCTAAACAAGCTGAGCTGCACAGCTGCTGCATGAGCATCCCCCTCCTTTTCCCATGGTGCCCATGATCCAGGGATAAGCAGGACAGGCTGGGTTGATCACCAGCCCAGCTTTCCCCCTGCTGCCCATGGTGGGCACAGATCCCTCCAATTCTGGTTGGAACACTCCTCTTTCCTCAGCAGCCGTGGTCCAGAGCTAAGTTGGAGGGGCTGGAGGCTATTTCATATTTTTCCTTACACAGACACAACAAAACCTTCCCATTTCTGCCTACTTTTGAGCTTAGCTTAGTTTGCAGTTGGAGGATTTTCAGAATGATAAATGAGTGCTTATGAAGAGGTGCAAAGGTCTAGCTGGATGTAAGGTTTATGACTAAGGTTTTTAATCCAAGACTAGCAAAATTTCTGGTGTTTCCCAGGCTTATTTTCATTGGTCCCAGATGATTTCTGTGCATCCTGATTTTGATCTGCTTACTTATCTATTGCCCACCAAGTATTTTATCCAGAGAAATTCCTGTGAAGAAACAGTAGAGACATTAGTGGACCTGAACTCAAACTCCAGAGTCAAACACTCCTGCTTTGCTGAGTATTTTGATATGTCATGACACCCCACAAGCTGCTGGACACTCAACCCATGGCTCCAGCTGCTTTCCCAGACAGAGGGACATCCCAGTTAGTGTCCTGCACTGGGCAGCAATGTCCCTGCTGCTCTTGTTGCCACTGTGAACATGCAGCAGCCACCCCTTCACACAGGTGCAGGGTTTTTCCATACACACTCACCTCCAGCACTGCACATAGCTAGAAACCATCCAGCAGTTTCTGGTCCTGTCTCTCAGCTCTTCTGAGTCCCCTCTACTTGCCACAGCAGGAGAGAGACAGACACTGTAATAAGCATTTCCCTAGAAGGACCTGATTTTGCAAACAAGCACAGGATGGACTTTTTGCAGGCTATGAAATGGGCTTGCAAGGGATGCTTTGTGTTGTTGAAGTGTAATGACAAGGTAGACTCTAAATTCTGTGGCAGATGGACGTGTTTCCTGGGCTTTTGCAAGGCATTGGGAGTTTTTTTTCCTAGACCTAGGATAGCAAGCTGCTTTCAGGGACACCCAGGTGTGTCATGCAATTATAAGACCTTTATCAAAGACACACATTTCCTAATCCTCTTCTCCAGTGCAAGAATTTTGTTTTTGTTAAAAAAATTAAAAAAACAAAAAGAAAGAAAAGAAGGAACAAATCCTGCTAGTGCCTTGCCCTGGCTTTGCAGGAAATTGGCAGGTTTTCAAATCAAAGGTGTGTTATGCTGAGCAGCCTCATCCCCAGCCATCCATGTGCTCCTGCACATCCCCTGGCAGCACTCTGAGACAATGGCCAGGGCTCTGTCCTTCATTGCTGAGCTTCAGGCCTTATCCCACTAAAGTCTGCCCAGCTTTTGGGGTGAAAGCTCAGCTTCTGGAGCTGCCACCTGCTCTATGGACAGTTCATCTTCAGGAGACTGCAACAACTCAAGGTGCCACCACCCTGTGCTGCCAATGGGCTCTGCTCACACTGGGTGGCAGAAGGGACCAGCCCTGCTGGGAAACTGGGAAAAATGGGCCCCAATGCCTATCAACCAACAAGGGTTAAATAATGACAAAGGGGATGATGGACATGGTGCCACGTTTGAGAGTAACAGACGGGAAGGTGCCCGGTTGCTGCAGCAACAAGGCTGGGAAGATGGGATTTTCTTTTGGGAAGATGGGTTTTTCTTTCTCTTTTCACCTGCCAATCTTCCCCCCACGTCAGGCCCCTGCTGCTGCGGGAGATGAGCAGTGACATTTACACTCCCACTAACAAGCTGGTTCAGTGATGGGCAGCTCTGCAGGAGAGCATCTGGTGTCACAGAGCCTGAGCAGAGAGGAGGGGAGTGTCCTCTCAAGCAAATAGAATAATTTGTGACTTTTTGTTATTATGAGCATTACTGGGGCAGCACCATGCATGGAAACAGCAGGCAGAGCCTCAGTGGGGCACTCAGGGCTTTTGACCTTTCAGGTGGGTCAGGTCCTGCGGTTGATGGGAGCAGTGAGATGTCACTCCTGCCCAAAGATCTCTGCACGTCCTGCTGGGAGAGGGAAGGAAGAAAAAGGATATTAAAAGGAGGATGAGCAAGAAGTCAAACATCACCACAGGAGCAGTTTTACTTCTCAGCCTGCTCGTGGTAGCAGGCTGTGCCATCAGCTATGCCCCTGCAGTTCAGCATTCCTCGGGAATCTGCCTTTGGCTCTTTGGGAGAAACCTTGCTAAGGAAGCAGAAGTGAAACTCAGGCTGCTTTTTCTCTCCCTGCATCTTTGCCCACCACTGTGTCTCTGAATGCTTTCCTTTGCCTTCTGGATAAGACAATGTTCAGTTCACCCAGATTGTCACAGTCATAATAGGAATAGCAGTAATAAGAGCAATAACAATAACAATAAAAATGCTACTGCAAAGTAAATGCAAGAAAAACATAACAGTCCCAAAATGAATTGTAGTGGTGCTGCAGGAAACTGCTTTTGGACATCTCCTCTCTCTTACTGGTTGTTTTGCTGCTCGCATGAGGAGGAAAGTGGGAATTAAGAACCAGCAGCCTTCCTGGTTGCCAGACTGCTCTGCCACTGCAGCCAGCTGAGGACATGCCTCGTTGGACCATGAACCCCAAACTGGTGGTGGAAATAAATATTGTGGCAGATAAACCCTGAAATTTGTGTATTCCCATGCCCAGCAGAGCCAAGGAAGGCAGATTTCCTAAGGATCTATGGCTGCAAGTCAAAGACTATTACATGGATTGTACTGATCCATTTATTTGATCCATTTTTATTGCAGTATCAATAGGTTTTCTCTTGTCTATAGCGTCATCCTTTAACACAAAGCTTGGACGTTCTTTACATTGTGGAGATTTCCACCCTTTTGTTCAATCAAGGTGAAAGTACAGGCTGACAATTATTAGTAATACACAGATAAAGAGGCTGCTCCACCTGCATCTCTGTCCCCATTCTTCCCTCTGAGCAGAGAGCATGTGCTGATCAGCCACATTTCATTAAAAAGGCAGGCTAAAAGATTAGGATGCTGAGAAGGGCAGCCCCCTTTTAGTGTCTTTATCCCTCCCTGCAGTTGGAGCAGCCCCTTGAGACTGAATTTTAAAGGCAAAGTACCTGATACGTTGTAACACAGTTTCCTCAGAATAATTGCTCTGGTTTTCTATATAACCACTAAAAAACTCCCAGCATTTCCCTACTGGTGCTTAGAAGTACACCCAACAATCTGCAGAGAAGAGATGGCTGAACAAATACACAGTCAAGCCTGGGGGAAAAACTGCATGAAGGCAGATTAGAAAGGACCAGAGAAATAATCTTTCAAATACTGAAACTGCAGAAATTAAGAGGATATTTGCAGGAATCTCTCATTACAGAGGGCACACAGGAAGCGTCAAGATTGCAACTGGACCAGTGCATGAAGGTTGTACAAGGGAGAAACCCAACCTTTCCAGCAGCACACGGTGACCGTGACGAGTCCCTTGTCAAAGTGATCAATCAGCAAAGCACAGAAAATGAGGTCACTCGTGGAGTTTCCTCCAGCTACCAAAACTCAGCAGGGATGGTCCCATAACAACCTTTGCATCTTCCAGCAGAGGGTTCAGGATGGAAAGTTTCTCCCCATGGTACCAGAGGCCACAGTGGGAGCTCCAGCTGGGAAGAAGCTTGGCAGCTTGCATAGGCAGTGGGTCAGATGAAGGAGAAATAGAAGAAAAAATATCTTTTTAACATTCTTGACTGGAACCCACTTTTCTTCTAATTAAAAAAAAAAAATAATTACATTCTCTTCTGTTACAGGAGGTTTATTAATTGTGAAAATTGAGATGTTTTCATGCCTTGAGGGTTGACTTTTTTTGCCATCAAACCCAAATACAGAAAAAGACAGAATCCTTTGCAAAATATGCTTGTCTGAAAAAATGTACCAGTGTCAGGCAGACTGTCCTGTACTGAAACCTTCCATGCTCATGTTGATGTTCCAGTTTGGACCCTTTCAACACCACTCCAATATCCTTTTCTGTTTCCTGAATCCCCTCCCTTCCTAAAAACTGTGGGCTGCTTCTTGTAAAACCTGCCAAGAAAAGCAAGTGAATCAACTGTCCTACAAGGGCAAGGAACAGGCTGTGCCACCCACCAGTCCACGTGTCCATGGAGTAGCAGAGAAGAACACCAAGAACTGTGCAGAGGCTTCATTACGAGCTGCAGGCACTTCTACAGGCACCAGGGTTGTCCCTTAACTCTGTGGCTACATCTCAAATGAGCCACATGCAATTTTCCTCCCACATCCACAGAGCAGGGCTGTCAATGCTGCTCAGACTCTGGTGGCCCCAACAGATTTGCACTGAGCTGTTGGGCTGGCCCTGGGGAATCTCTGCTGTCAAATAGGTATTGAGTCAATATTGCAGAGCAGCAGCAAGCATAGAGCAGAGGACTCTGGTTCACTGTAGAGAAAGCCTGTCCTAGAAACAGGAGCCTTGCATATTGAGCTGAGCCAAGTTTGGGATCCTGTTGCTGCCCAGATTATCCTCACACCCCAACTCAACCTGGTCATTGTGGAGGAGAAGGTTTTGAAAACTGCCGGGGGTGACATCAGGGTTAGATGTGGGAACTTGGTTTCTCTCGCAGTGAAATGAGTCTTTCTGAGCCTTGTCTCTTCCCCAGAGAGCTGTGACGATTCATTAGGCAACTGTAAAATCAGAATGTAGCTGCTGACTAAAAGTTGCGGCTCATTAATAGCCCTGTTTATTGCCAACCAAATAATTAGCTTAGACATGCATCAGCAGGTCTTGATTGCATATGAAATAACTGCCTTATTACATAGAAATCAAATGAGTTTCTGAGGACAGCTCAGGTGTCACCTCAACCCCAGAATCGAAAAGGAAAAAAAAAAGGAAAAAAGCCCATCCACTTCAATGTGTTGCTCAGCAACAGAATTTGCGGGGGAAACAATCTAGGAATGAAGGAATGAGCATTTCCAAGAGAACAGGTTATTTCAGGCTAGACATCAGGGACAAGCAAATGTCACAGAGGAGGAAAACTTCAAATTTTTTCCTCTTTTAATCAATAATTCAAACTAGACATTTTGGATAAAACAAGCATTTAAGTTAGCTGATTGAGAAACAGAGATTCCCAAACCTTTACAAAGAGTCACATTGCTGAGGAAATGTTTATTTGTTTGCGTGAGGGAAATGTTAGATTTACTAGACACTGAATTAAAAATTTTAAAATGCTCTTAGAAATGCCACTTGTTCATTTAAAGGGGAAGATGATGCAATGGCAGTACTGCTATATTGTGCAGCATCCTTCCCAGAGCAATTCCATATTAATTTTGTTGTTCTCCTTTCCCGTGTGCCCTCCTTTCCCTCCCTTCTCCTTTTTCTTCCAGGACAAGACGAGCGCGCTGAGTCTCAGCAATGTGGCGGGGGTTTTCTATATCCTCATCGGTGGGCTCGGACTCGCCATGCTGGTTGCCTTAATCGAGTTTTGTTACAAGTCCAGAAGTGAATCAAAGCGGATGAAGGTGGCAACCCATTCCACGGCCTTTCACACCTTCTCTCTGATCCTCCCCCGGCTCCAAAGCTGCCTTCAGAGACGGATGCAGCCCAGACCATGGGTGGAAAGCCAAGACATAGGGATAATGAAGTGGCTGTGTCACTCAACTTGCTAGAAAGGAATAGGACCATCTGAGGAAGCTGAAAGAGGGTCAAGTGGGCTGTCATGGGGAGCTGATGCAAGATCAGACATGTGGCAGGATGTTAATTCAAAATCCACACACAGAGCAAAACCACAGCACAAGCGGCAACAGAAACACATTGAAATTCCTTAAAATTAATGAAGGCAGACTATGGCAATGTGTGTGCAGCATGGATGAAGTGTGCAGGGGCTGGTGTGATACAGCCATTGCTGCAAGATGGAAAAATCCCCAAAGCCAGGCTCTTAACAGCAAGATAAAACTGGGGGAGTGCAGTAATGATTCACATCCTGCTGTTCCCTTTGCTGGCACCCTGCTGGCACCGTTTCCAGGCTGACAACACCAATACATGCTCAGAGCATTGTTGCCCTGGAATGAATGATGTGGGCCTCCAGATTTCAGAATTATGGGTCTCTTTGGCAGAAATTGGCCTCCAATGTCTCCTGTAATGTTTTTTTTTTTAATTCCACCCTGTCATGATCTTGCAGAAGCATATTTCCTACAGCCCAGGAGATCTGTTCAGCCCTAAATTCTGGTGTGCCTGAATTTCTGAGAGTCATGTCAAGAGTGAATTAGATTTGAGAGCCTTGGAGATAGACATTTAATGCAGCATCTATGGAGCAAGTATATCTTGGCAATCCCTCATACAGACACCGTGGTGTTCAAGGAGGCAGTGGGATATGTGACACATCCCTTGCCTTCCTCATCCTGACCTCTCCCATGAGCATGGAATTTGTTCTGGGCATATGAAGTATTCAGTGAGTTTCAAAAAATCCAAATGGGTTTTTATTTCACTGAAATTCACCCAGAATCAAAAGGAAAATAAGCAGCCTCTTCTTTGGGTTTTATGTCACCATTTCACAGCACGCTGAGTGTTTTGGCAGCAATAATAACATTTCTAATGCACTGAAAATGTGCTACAGCTCTTTTTCCATTGAGGTTCAGGAAATGCCAAAGGCAATGAGAAGTACCTTGAGCACAGGGGTAAAATAATGTGAGCAAATTGTGTCCATGGAACTACAAAGATTAGATCATAATTTGTGCTCACTGATAAGCTATGTAGGGCACAAATGCACTGCAAAAAAAGTGTCAGAATGCAATAGCTCAGTAGCTGTTCCAAATTTATCTGCCATGGATAATTCTTCACCTGAATATCCCAGTCCAGAAAGAATGATGGTGACCTTGGAGATAGCATGAATGCAAAGAAACCAAATTGGCTTTATCTTTTAGTTGAACTGTTCTAAGCAGGTGGTTTCCTTAGATCTCTGAAAGCGGACGTTTTGGATCTATCTGGAACAGGAAGATGAAATTTGGTTTCCTGAATTAGGCTTGCATTTCCTAGTTACCTCAGTCATCACTGTAGACAAAAACATAGGCACATGCTCAAGTTCTCACATGAGCAAAGTTAAACATATGTTTGCAGTGAGTCAGAGTCCACTGTGCAAAACAGTCCTGGAGTAGCAATAGCATTTCTATGGGGGAAGTGTGTAAAATACCTCTGCTCAGATCCAGGATGACTGTTCCTATGTTTTAGAGTTCGAAGAGGTTTTTGGCATATGGCACTGATGCTTTATACCCCAAAATACTGCTGAAACATTTAATTTTGCATGTAGAAGAGGTGTGAATGAACAGAGCAGATGCAGTGGGGACACAGAGAAAGTGAGAGTCTGAATGGAGACAAGGAAGGGGAGAACAGTAACAGAAAGACAACACTGGTTAATATTGTAATTTCTCCAACACTGCAAAGGACAGGGGGAGACCCCCCCCGTCTCTCCTAAAAAGGGTTTTTGTTTAATCCCACAGCAATCAATCAACGAAGCCATACAGACATCAACCCTTCCCAGGCCGGCTGCAGCAGGAGGCAGTGGAGAAAATGGACGTGTGGTCAGCCACGATTTCCCCAAATCCATGCAGACGATCCCATGCATGAGCCACAGCACTGGCATGTCCCTGGGAGCTACGGGATTATAATTGGCCTTTTGACCCATTGCCTGGGTGAGAGCAGGGGCAGCCCAACTCCACCCCTCCAGAGCCAAAAAACATACCCAACACCAACAAGACAAACGATGATGACAGAAGGGACAATTGGATGGATCTTCTCAAGGAAATCAAATCAATTTCCCTTTTTATTTGCAAACAGATCCACTGGCAGGAGAACAGAAACAGGTCTGTACTGCAATAAGGAGAGTGTAATGGGATTTTACAGACTCGTGAACCATCCCTGATCAAAGAACCACTGGAACACTAATGAGGACTATGCCATTTTGTTTTAACTTGGTTGTTAATAAGTCTTAGTGTGTGCAATATATATATTTTTTCTTACTAATTCCTGTGGTGTCAGGGTAACATCACCCTTTTCCCCCTTCCCTGCTCAGTCCTTCAGTCCGGTTTAGTTTGGGATGCAAACCACAATGTCTGAGCTACTAACAGCAAAACCAGAAATACGTGGCAAGTTGAACTCGGTGCAGGGCATCAGCATTGACCTCTTTTGTCCATCCTGATCCTGCCTTCGTTGTTCTGTGGTGAACTCGGGCTGTGGAGTTATCGCAGCGAGGCAGACGGAGCTGCCCCCGGCTCTCCCTGCAGCAGGAAGGACTCCATGCAGGAAAAAACCTGAACAAAAATATGAGGCTGTTTTACAGGGGGAAAAGTCATGGGTGAGTTTGGAAACCCCAGGTAGTGTGTGGACAGAGCAGTAATTCTTCCAGAGACCATGAGTGGTGATTCGAGAGGAAAATCACGTGCCTGCAGTGGAGAGCAGCAGAACGGAGCAGAGGGTTGGGCTAAAGATCACGGTGGGCTGCTGAAGAGGGAAAGTAAATGTTCCCCTCCCGTGTGACTCTCCTGCCCAGGTTATTGGGGGCTAATAAGCAATTGTGAACCATTTCTTCATTGCTTAGCTTCTGTGTGTGCTCCCTTTCTGGTGGTCACATCAGGGAACCACCTCGGGCCGGGGATAGGCCATCTCCAGACATCCAGTTCCAGACAGCTGCCAATTAACCAGCGCAACGTGCTACAAGTCATGGGGCTGCAACGGGCTCGCCCCTGCCCCTCTGCTCTGAAATCCCTTTATGGCCATCCTTTTCTATCTCACAGGGACATTTTGTAGGTCGCTGGCCAGAATGGATTCCTGGAAGGAGCTGCTCTGAAGCAGACCAAGGAGGAGATCCTACAAGAGCTTAATTCAAGCAACCATGACATTCAGCAGCATCAGTGCTGCTCACATTCAGTCTCCCCCTCAAGCTGTGGCCTGTCTGGGGACAAAGCCAACCGTAGCATATTCCCACTCGTATCCTTAGAGGGTGGGAAGCATCCACAAGCCAGGAAAGCAGGCTGCTGACCCCAAACTCGGTGTTGGGTGTTGCAGAAACCCAGTGCCAGACTGGGGGTACAGCCACAGGCCTGGAGATCAAGGGGGCAAGGATGGTTTTCCAGAACCACACAAAAGGTTCATTCTGTGAATCTCTGGCATGGACAGACAAATGCTTCCCACCCTGGTGGGCCTGAGACACCTCAGGGGTGTGATATTCTCAAGTGAAGGATTCCCAGGGGAATATCTGGAGAGGGAGAAGATCTGTGGGGCAGAGGCCACAGTCAGCCCACTGGGCCTGGTCCCATCTCACTGATGGCAGATAAAGTTCAAAAGTTCTCACAGAGTTCAACAAATACCTGTCCAGGCACTGAGCTGCTACTGGAGCATTCTGAGCCGCTTTTTTTTCTCATTTTCTTTGCTCTTTTCTGTTTTTTGCAATGTAGCAAGAGCAGAGCCATGAAAGGAGGGAGGCAGGTGAAGAGAAAATGATGGAGGCAAATGGCTGGCATGAGTCTATGAGGAGAATCTGGAAGAAGACTGGAAACTGTGTGAATACCAGTTTCCATTAGTGTATGACTGTGCAGAGCAATACATTTACCACCTTTAACACCAGCCTGGGCTGAAGCATCTACTCCTCTCATCCACTTGTCATGCAACAATTTGGAGACCAGCAAGCCAGAGTCAAGGCCCTAAGCCTGGACACAGCATGTCTTGTGCCAGTGTAGTCCTGTCTCCAAAACTGGGAACGCTGTGATCTTCATCTCTCATTGCTGAACATGAACCCTGCTATAAGCCACTCCAAACACCGGGGCGCTTTCTGTTGCTCATCATTATTTTAATCTGCTTTTCTTAATTTTAACTTCAGTTCTGTGTAACGCTAGCACAAGTGGAGGAATCCTTATCAGCACAAGCTCCTTTTTCTGTGTGCAGAGCTCTCAGATGAGTCTCCTGACCCAGCTCTTGTCGTGTTCCAGGCCAGTGTGGTGGGCACGGGCTGCTGGTACCCATCAGTGCCCCATCCTCATCCAGGAACAGGACCCTGTGGCAGCAGGTGACAGCAGTCTCATGAGCAGCAGCAGTGCTAGAACTGGCCACCTGTGACATGAAGATGTGAGATGCAGCTGTCAAAGGCTTTTGATCGGTGGAGGGGTTACAAAAAAAAAAAAAAAATAGGTGAATAAGACAAAAGCGTGGAAAATGTAAACTTGTAATATGTATTTTTACTACACTTTTCTTAAAAATAGAGTAATGGTAAAACTCTTAAAGACATTGACATTTTTTCTCAACAGGATTCCATATTTAACAGTTTTGGCTTTCATTAAATTTTGCTCTTTGGTACCTGGATCTTTTATTTAACAGCTATATTTATTTTAACTCTCTTTTGGTTTTTCTTTCTTTCTTTTATCTTTTTTTTTTCTTTTGGCAGTACTACAAAGGATTTTGGTTTATCAAATGCAATGGTGTTTTTCTTTTCACATTCTCTTTTTTTCAAACAACATTTTTATTGGCAATTATTATTTACACAACATAGGAAACTATCAGCTGTTATTTTAGAAACAAGGATCCATGATCCATTTCTCATACCTGTCCATGCAGTTTTGTGCCAGTGCTGGATGTGTGGAAATGAAAATGATGTTACCCCTCAGGCAATATTACCCAACCTGAATCAAAAGAGATTTCTTTGATTTTTGCTGTGTCTGACTTGTGAACAGCAGCCAAATAAACTGCTTCAGGTTGAAATTGGGAATCTATCTAATATTTACCCAAGAGTCAGGAAACCAAATATTCATTGGGTTCAAAATTAATGATTTTGCTTTGTTTGGAGTCTTGTGGGGTTGTTTTGAGGAGGGCTGTTAGAGGATTTTAGCTTGTTTTTACAGAGAGGGAAGACATGGCCAGCTCAGAGAAAACTCAGAACCAGCACTGGTCCAAAAATCCCTACCAGGATCAGTTTTCCTAGGAGCTCCCATGCATTTAAGATGCTTCTCACTCAGTTTTCACACAACCAACCTGCCAAGTTGCTCATCCAAAAGCCTGTTGAGGGTGAAAAAGAGGAGAATTTAAAGGGTGTTGGACATTTATGCAAATACTGACAACTACTGAGGTAAACTGCACTCTTTAATGTCATGCTCTTGTGGAGCTCTTGGTGTTGCAGGTGTGAGAGGACTCCCTTTCCCATATCCTCACTGCCAGTTATCATTTGGGAAAGCTGAGACACAGAAATGCCTTTTGACCAGGCATCCCACAGGGCCAAGGTCAGAGAACCAAGATCTTCAGCATCCACAATTGGTGCTTTACCCACTGGTAATTTTTAAATATAGAATCAGCAAGGGACAGAATTAATACATATTCAAGGGGGCAGTGAACCCTGAGGCTTCAAAGAACAACAGATTCCCAAGCACTGGGGCCTGAAGGAGAGGTTTCCCAAGGGCAGGCTATGCTGGATCAGCCCAGTTTGGTCTTCCACAATTCCCTAGCGATCCAGTGCTGTTCTGTGGGATTGGATTCTGACACAAAATGCCCTTCCAGTGCTTTAATCTTGGTTCCCAGTGATATTGCAAAAATGCACAAGAAACGTTCCTTTATACCTTAGCATAAACAGGACAAAATTTCCTCCTAGTGGCAAAAGCAAATATTCCTTGTAATAAAGTCTCCAGCAAGAATCCTTCTTCAGCAGTTGTTGAAGCAAAAAAACCCTCACTGAACCCTGAAGTGCAGCAGGAGAGGAACAGATGCATTGCTCAATCCATTCCTTTGCTGTGGGGTCAGGACTTAGAGCTGGGCCGTTCCAAAAAGATTTGGCTGGGCTTGTTTGTCCTACCTGCCACCAAATGCAAGGAGAACTTAAATCATCTAAGCTCAGGGAAGGAACAGAGGGTGCCTCAAAGTGTTCTGTAAACCTGTGGGTACCACTGGCCTGTGGAGCTCCAGCAACTCCGTGCTGTGTCCATCAGAGTTTTGGGAGGCATGGGGAAGTTTTCACTGTGAACACAGGCTCCTGCTCAGTTTCCAGTCCCATGGTCACCAGGTCTCACATGTGGCTCTGGGTCCCAGAGGAACACTTCTGTGCACATTTCTAAGCCACATGTCAGAGCTTAGGCACCACCTTGAGGACAGGAACACATGGGTTCCTACCAGCAAAGGTACCAGTTTAACCCCAAATACCTTTTGGAGACTTGTGTGCCTGTTCTCTGATGGCTGCTGACCCCTCCTAAAGACAGATACTCCAGCTATCTTCACATTACCTGTGAGCATCAATCAGTTTGTCACCCACCAGTGCTGGTTTTGTGTCTTGGCTGCTGACTGAAGTCCCCATGCTCTCATCTCTGATACCCAGTTAATTAATTAAATAACAGAAACATCAGGATATCACAGTGCCATGAACAGCTGCCCAGCAGCCTGCAGGAGGGCAGGGCTTTTGGGGCAAAATCCACATGCAAGCCCCAAATCCATGTTGCTCAAGCTTCATTACAAAGATGACACCTTTCCCACCTTCCTTCTTACACAGAGCTGCTCTGGTTTTTTCCAGACACTTGGTCTTGATGGTTTGAGTGTACAAGAGGGATGAGTTTAGTGTGCAAGAACCTAGAACAGATTCTCCTAGGAGCAGAGGGGTAGCTTGAAACTGATCACTCCATCAAAATCCTGACTATTTCCACCCTGGGATTCTACACTCAACATCACTTTCCATTTCCCTTCTGTCCATCCCCATCTCTCCTCCATCTGTACATAAGCAGTACCCTCAGCACTGCCACTTTCTCCTCTCCAGGACCTGGAATGGCCTCTGGGTTTACACATGGTGTTCTCTTAGAGGCAGATAAGTATCACCATATAGCTTTAGAGCAAATTAACTTTGGGGTGGGGCAGAGGTGTGACTCCAGCTCCACCCAGGGCAGAAGTGATGCCATAACTCTCACA